AGAAGCCACAGATCTAAACAACTGCGTAGATCAACTAGATTTAACAGACATCAACCGAATATTTCACCCAGCAGCATCAGAATACACTTTTTTCTCAGCAGCACATGGAACATTTTCCAAAATAGACCACATTTTAGGCCACAGAGCAAACTTGTCCAAATTCAAAAACATTGAACTTATACCTTGCATTCTCTCAGACCACAAGGGAATAAAATTAGAACTCAACACCAAAAGCCACCAAAGAAAGTCTGGTATCACATAGAGGCTGAACAACACACTGCTGAATCATGAGTGGGTCATAGAAGAGATTAGAAAGCAAATTCAAATGATCATGCTATTCAACAAAAATGAGCACACAAATTACCAGCTCCTCTGGGACACAGCAAAGGCAGTACTCAGAGGCAAGTTTATAGCTCTGAGTTCCTACATCAACAAATTGGAGAGATCTGAAACCAACAATTTAATGAGACATCTGAACCTCCTTGAAAAAGAGGAGCAAGATAAACCTCAATCCTGTAGATGGAAAGAAAAATTAAAATTAAATCAGAATTAAATGAATTAGAATCCCAAAAATCTATAGAAAGAATCAACAAAACAAAGAGTTAGTTCTTCGAAAAAATTAACAAAATTGACAGACCCTTAGCAAATCTCATCAGAAAACGAAGAGAACACACCCAAATAAATAAACTCAGAGATGAGAATGGAAACATCACCACAGAAACAACTAAGATTCTTAACATTATAAGGGAATACTTCTCAAAACTTTATGCTAATAAGTTTGAGAACTTAGCAAATATTGATATGCCAAAACTAAACCAAGATGAGTTAAACCATCTTAACAGGCCCGTATCAAGCATTGAAATAGAAAAAGCAATAAGAGACCTCACATCTAATAAAAGTCCAGGACCAAATGGTTTTACAGAGGAATTCTACAAGGCCCTCAAAGCAGAGCTAACTCCAATACTACTCCAACTCTACAATGATATTGAAAGAGAAAGTTCACTACCAAACACATTCCTTGAAGCCATCATTACCCTCATCCCCCAACCAGGCAGGGACTCATCAAAGAAAGAGAACTATAGACCCATTTCTTTGATGAACATTGATGCAAAACTTCTCAACAAAATTTTGGCCAATCAACTTTAACAATTCATCCAAAAAATCGTACACCATGATCAAACAGGATTCATTTCAGGGATGCAAAGCTGGTTCAATATATGCAAATCAATTAATATAATTCATCACATCAACAGGAACAAGGATAAGAACCACATGATTATCTTAATAGATGCAGAAAAAGCATTTGACAAGATCCAACACCCCTTTATCATGAAGGTTCTGGAAAAATTAGGAATCCATGGAACATTCCTCAATACAATAAAGGCTGTATATGACAAACCTACAGCCAGCATTATACTTACTGGTGAAAAACTAAAGCCATTTCCTCTTAATTCAGGAACCAGACAAGGATGTCCACTCACTCCACTTCTCTTCAATCTAGTATTAGAATGCCTAGCTACAGCAATAAGACAAGATGCAAACATAAAGGGGATTCAAATAGGGAAAGATGAAGTAAAACTCTCCCTCTTTGCAGATGACATGATCTTGTATTTAAAGAATCCCATAGACTCCACTCCCAAATTACTCAAGCTGATTCAAAACTTTGGTAGAGTAGCAGGGTATAAAATTAGCCCTCAAAAATCAATGGCTTTTCTGTATGCCAACAATTAGAAAAGTGTGGCTGAAATTAGGAAAGCAACTCCTTCAGGAAATTAGAAAAGCTAGGTCCTTATATATCACCCTGCACGAGAATCAACTCCAAATGGATCAAAGACCTCGGAGTCAAAGCAGACACTTTGAAAACATTACAGGATGGAATAGGAGAAACCCTAGGTCTCCTTGGCACAGGCCAAAATTTTCTTAATTGGGACCAGACACAACATATCAAAAAAGGTTGGACAAATGGGATTGCATGAAATTGCAGAGAATGCTACAAACAAGACCACACTAAAGCTGTCAGAACGACTATGTTTATTGCAGCATTATTTACTATAGCTAAGATATGGAACCAACCCAGATGCCCCTCCGTAGATGAATGGATCAAGGAAATGTGGTATATATACACAGTGGAATTCTATGCCTCCATCAGAAAGAATGACATTGCCCCATTTGTTAGGAGATGGAAAGGCTTGGAAAAAATTATATGAAGTGAAGTAAGCCAGGTCCAAAGAAACATAGGTCCCCTGGTTTCCCTTATTTGCAATATCTAGTATATGTCTGAGTCAAGCAGAAAAGGTCAGATAAGTTGATGTTAGGGAAATGAACCCTAAGATATGTATTCAAATGTTTTTTTCTTTTATGCGATTGTTTTTTAACACATTTATAAAATTATTTCTTTGTTGCTTTGTATGTCCCTCCCCCACAGTATAACCCCTGCTTTCGCTGTATTTCATGTCGGTATAATTTGTGGAGGGGAAGGGGAATAACAAATCGTTTAAATAGGGATATAGGTGGACCCATTGCAACAATTAGATGCACAAGTTGTTATGTGGAAAACGAACTTTACAACTTTCGTGCTGGGGGGGGGGGAGGTTTGGGTGTGGGACTAATGGATGGATGGGAAGGGATGGGAAGGAGAAACAAAAGAGGAGGCTACAATGCTTGATAAGAAATGTACTCATTATCTTGCCCATGTAATTGTAACCCCTCTGTACAGTATTTTCACAATTAAAAAAACTAAAAAAGTGTTTTTATAAATTTTCACAATATAGATCCTTCCCATCTTTTTTTTAAATTTAAATTTTAATTTTTTGTGAACATACTGTACGGAGGGTTTACAATTACATGGGCAAGATAATGCATACATTTCCTATCAAGCATTGCAGCCTCCTCCTTTGTTTACCCTTTACATCCTTTCCCAGCCTCCCTCCCCACACCCAATCCTCCCTCTTCCCCCCCCCCCCCCACACCAAAGTTGTAAATTTCGTGATCCTTCCCATCTTTGCTTAAGTATTTTGTGAGGCTAATACAATGGTGTTTTTTGCTTTATTACAGTATCACTCTTCACATTGTTGGAACACATGGTGCTACTATGTTTTGTGGTTTGATTTCATACCTCTCTCCTTTGCCAGTTTGAATCAACTCAAGTAGCTTGGGGTGAGGAATTCTACAGGATTCTTTAAATACAGGATCATACTACCCACCAAGAGGGATACCTTTACTACTTGGTTCTCATTTGTGCCTTATTTCTCTTGCTAGGTATTCCAGCAGTATGTTCAATAGGAACGAAGAGATAGGCATCCTTGTGTTGTTTATAATTTAGAGGGAATGGTTTTTCCCATGAAGTATAATGCTGGCTCTAGGTTTGTCGTAGATAGTCTTTATTATATTGAGGAACTTTCCATGGATTCATAACTTCTCTAGAGATTTTATCATAAATGGGTGTTGAATCTTGTCAAATAATTTTTCTGAATATATTGAAAAGATCATGTGGTTCTTATCTTTGCTTCTGTTGATGTGTTGTACTACAGTAATTGACTCAAGTATATCAAACCAGGTTTGCAATCCTGGAATGAATCCAATTTGAACATAATGTATGGGTTTTTTTTCCCCCCGGTTACTTGTTGAATTTGGTTGGCTCGAATTTTGTTGAGAAGTTTTCCATCAACGTCCATCAGAAAAATGGGTCTATAGTTCTCTTTTATTGATGACTTTCTATCTGGTTTGGGAATAAGTGTTATGTTGGTTTCATAGAATGACTTTGATAGTGATCTTTCCCTTTCTGTTTCATTGAAGACTTTGAGGAATATAGAGTGAGTTCCGATTTGAAGACATTATAGATTTCTGCTTTGCATCCATCTGGTCCTTTATTGCTATTTCAATTGCATTAATTGTTATGGGCAATTTAGATTACCACCTGGAAATAGTCCTCCAAGGAAGAAGTCTGTGACAAGGTACAGACAGATTCTGGAGCCAGTTTTGAGCTGGCCAGCAGGAATCTTCTTGAGGGGCCTCTGTGTCTGGATCTAGCAGTCTCAAACTCCTCTTCCTGTTTCCCCCTACCATGGTCCTGTGGTGTCTCTCCTCCTCGGTGTTGTGTGGCATCAGCAACAGCCTCTCTATAGGGGTCCCCAAGCTGATTCAGATGTTTGTCATTCTTTCCCTCCTTGTGTTTCTAGGGTTAAGGCAGTCTGGTGTGATTTTTGTCAGTATTACACTGTAATCTGTTTAAGGGTGATTGGTCGTACTTCAGGCATGTCCTTCTGCAACTGCCTAGGCTGTCTGGTGAGGCTAGGTGCAAAGGCTGTAGCCCCTCAGCAGTGGTCTGCATACTGTCTTGTTATCTTCTGCTCCTGTGTTTCTGCTGTGAGATTTCTTCTGTATTTGAATGAATCCCTATGTGAGATTTCTTCTGTATTTGAATGAATCCCTATAGGTTTAAAGTTTGATTGGTGTGGATCTCTTGAGGTGAAGTGGATGCAGGGAATTTAAATAGCTGTTTTGCCAGACACATCTAAAGAGTTTACATGTGACAATGCCATGATCTTCCCACAAGTGTCAGGTCAGACTTAGAGGTGCACCATTAAGTTATTGACTTGGGATTTTTCTAAATGGTTGATGCAAGCACTTATAGACATGAACTGTCCTCTGAGAACCGCCCTTGGTGTGTGCCAAAAGAGTTGATATGTTATGTGTTCTTTCACATTGAATTCCAGAAATGATTAAATTTGCATTGTTATTTATCTCTTCAAAGAACTTCTGAAGACTCATAAATGAATTGCTCAGTTTCCATGAGTTTGAGTATTTTTTGTGATTTATTTGCTGTTGTACCCAAGTGTCATTGTGTTCATAGGAATCAGGAAACATTCTTGTATATTTTTCTTGTTCATTAATGTTTCAGTTTTGTGGTCTGAAAAACTTACAGTATTACATGTAGGAATTGTCCAGTGGAGATACATTCTGTGCTTCTCTGGGAGCATCTTTATCCTTAATTTCTACAGGATAGCTTTGCTAGGTACAATACTCTTGGTGGATAACTTAGATGTCTTTATCTTCAGTACTCTAAAGGTCTCTTGCCATGTTCTCTTGACTTACACAGATTCTATTGAGGAATCAGCTGTTATGGAAATGGGTATACACCTATGGCATTTGGGTTCCATTTCTGTTATACTTTAGAGAATCATCCTCGTATATTTAACTGGTGAGTGCTTCATGCTAAGACAGCTAATTTTAGATGTTATGCTCAAAAATTTGAATATCCTTGGCTGGGAAGGTGGCTCAGTGGTAGCATGCTTGCCTCACATGCATGAGGCCCTGGGTTTGATTCCTTTGCACCACATAAGCAGGAAAAGATGGAAGTTGTTCTGTGGCTCAAGTTATAGAGCACTAGCATTGAGCTGAAGAACTAAGGGACAGTGCCCTGGCCCAGATTTTAAGCCCCAAAACTGATTAATAAAAGGATTATCCTTTCATGTTTAGGCCTTTTATTTTGTATGTGTACCTACATCTGCTTTATTGAAAATACTTTCCTCAGCTTTTGACAAACCTTTTTCACACATCTTCATTCCTCCTATATTTATATGTTCAATTAGATTTTCCTCAAGCTCACTATTTTATTCTGTTTAGAACTTTTCATAAAATGATAGGCTTTCATTGTGAATATTTCACATATACCTACAGTATATATTGAACAAGTTGATCATTTCATTAGTATTTCCAACATGATTTCATTGTTTCCTTTTAAACAATACCACTTGATTTCATTATATTAATTTATTTAGAATATGCACTCTCACAAGCATGCATGTACACACACACACACACACACACACACACACACACACACACACACACACACACCTCTTTACCTCACTGTATTGGTTCCTTTTCAGTATCTCAATATAAACATATTGGAAAGAGAGTAGTGATCAGTGCATTTTACTATGGTGGCATTAGAACTGGGATTTCTATGCAAAGCTTACCTACAATTCTCTCCTCAACCCTTATGTCAGGGGTTTGTCTCTCCAAAAAGAGTTCCTTGAAATTGGATGCATCCTTTTTGTTTTGTTACATAAAGAAAAATAAAATTCCTTCCACTGATAGTTTTGCTCTTTTCCTGGTTTTTATCAGTAAAAGCTATTCAATATTTTGAGTCTATGAGCAGACCTTGCTTCTGGATATTGCTCTTAAATTAAAATTTCCTTATGTTATAAACACATAACATAAACTTGGTGACTCAAAACACCAGAATTATTTTCTACAGAGGTGTAGCTAGTTGCCCTAATGCAAAGGCAACACAACATTTGCTGTCTCATGAAAATATAATCCAACAGACAACAGTCTTTTGCTGTGGTATATATGGTAATGAGGAAAACAAGCTCTCCCTCAACTTAAATAAATATCTGAATTCTAGATGTAAGCATAAGAGAATACATTTACATTCCATTTTAATTGGGGTAATATTTTAACTTATTCCTTGACAAAGAAGCAAGCCATTCATGTGAATTCTTAAATTTTGAAATACTCCTCCTCAATTTCTTTGCTCATTATGCAGGTTAAACTTCAAGAACTATCAGTGTGTTTTGGCCTTGACTTTTGCTATTGAGGAGATCAACAAAAACCCGGATCTTCTATATAACCTGACCCTGGGATATGATATCTATGATGTTCACTTCAGAGGTTGGAAAATGTTTAAGAATCTCTTCACTTGTCTCTTTGGGAAGTACAAGATTCCAAACTACTCCTGCATGAGAGAGAACAGGTCTATAGCAGTGCTTACAGGACCATCAGGAAAAATATCTGACCAGATTGGGACATTATTGGGACTCTACAGATTTCCACAGGTGAGGGGAGGTGGTGTAAAAGGATACAAAAATGTCTAATTTCCTGCCATTTCAGGTTTTAGAATGATAGGAAGAGACTGGATTCATGAACAAATCAAATTTGTGATATCAAAGTGTAATTACTTAAAGGTAGTCAGAAATATATTTTTGCACATTTTGGAAAAAGAGATAGAAGATTTGAACATATAAAAAAATTTGATAGGGGCTGGGAAGGTGGCTCAGTGGTAAGAGTGCTTGCCTTGCATGCTCGAGGCCCTGGGTTCGATTCCTCAGCACCACATAAGCAAAAAGAAAAAAGCCGGAAGTGGTGCTGTGGCTCAAGTGGTAGAGCGCTAGCCTTGAGCTGAAAAGCTGAGGGACAGCGCCCAGGCCCAGAGTTCAGGCCCCACGACCGGACCCAAAAAAAAAAAATTTATAATTCATTGTTTCAGTGCTTATGAATGATTTTCTTTAATAAATCAGGAAATGGAAAATGACTTTGCTGTGTGAAGCTATGTTGAGCAGGGTACTGATGACTCACACCAGTAATCCTAGCTAATCATGAAACTTGAATCTCCAATTAACCTGCAAGGAGCACAAAGTGAATGTGTGACTCCATCAGTACAGCACAAGTCTTGAGGGAAATTGCTAAGGAAGTACAAGAGGGTATGAGTTTGTGCCCCTCTACTGGCATTCATGTGTACACACACACAAACACGCACACAGAGAAGTTAATATTTTGAATAAAGTAAATAAGGCTCAGAACAAGAAAGGGTAAAAATGTCCTCTCAAATGTGAAAGTTAGATGTAAAATATGAACATGTATATGGAACATGCACATAGCCATTTACATATATACATGATCAATCTGACTAAAGTATGGTACACATAGATGTGGAACTCCATGGTATAACTTTTCTGGTCTATTCACAGTATAAAAAATGAACACCAAAAAGGTGATGCATAGCTTTCTCAGTGGGATAGGTACTAAGGGAAAAACACAGAGGAATAGGGAATGGATGGATGGGGAAAAGCATCATGGTATTCAATAGGAATGCATCAAAAAGAATTAGGAATGTCAGGGAATGGTTGGAATTAATATAAATGGGAAGTCTTAATGGAACCAATGATTTTTACAAGTAAATTTATGTATTGTATAACTATTCAAAAACAAATTATTTTCCAAAAACTAAAATAAAACCTACATTGCATCTACTTCAACTGGTTCTTAACAGACTTCACATCTGAGATTGTGATGCATGGCAATCTTCTCATTCATGGAGTGTCCAATTTTCTTTCTCTTTAGTTTACCTTTGGGCCTTTTGATCATGCCCTGAGTGACCATAACAAGTTTCCTGCTCTCTATCAGATGGCCCCAAAGGACACATCAATAGCCACTGCCATGGTCTCCTTACTGCTTCACTTCAGCTGGAACTGGGTAGGACTGTTAACTACACAAGATGAGCATGGTGCATGGGTTCTTGCTGAATTGAAAGAAGAGATGGCTAAGAATAGAGTTTGTGTAGCCTATGAGCTAATGATCTCAACCCAAGATGCATCACATATATTCAAACTCATGGCAGTTCATAATGAAATAAATCTACCTTCAGCAAGTGTCCTCATCATATATGGTGATAATGATTCACTGATATTTTTAATGGCATTTATTGAGCAAATTTTTATATATGGCAAAGTTTGTGTCATGAACTCACAGTGGGATTTCACCCTGAAAAGGAAATATTTCATGCTAGGCTCATTGCATGTACCTCTTATTTTTACACACCACCATGTAGGTGTTTTTGGATTCACAGATTTTGTCAAGACAGTTAAGCCTTCCAAATACCCAGAAGACATTTTTCTTGCCAGGCTGTGGTTTCTGTCATTTAATTGCTCTGATTCTGTGTCTGACTGTGTGACATGGGACAATTGTCCTCATAATGCCTCTTTGGATTGGTTGCCTGGGCATATTTTTGAGATGACTATGTCTGGAGACAGTTACAATATATACAACACTGTGTATACTGTGGCCCAGGCTCTCCATGAGATGCTTCTTCATCAAAAAGAAGTTCAATCAGTGGGAAATAGAAAAGGATCACTGCCTTCCTCTGCTCAGGTAATTTCTTCCATGTTGGAGTACACAAAACATGAGCAAAGTCACTTGCTAGAGGCATTTCTTACTGTATAAAATTTAATATTTCTGTATGTGTGCATGTGTTGATTTATATGATCATATATATGGTATATATAATGTGTATATATATACACACATATACACATATCATATATATTTGTATCCCTATGTCATATATATCTTGTTTGCTGATATTAACCAGTATATATTGCAGTATTTGAATGGATTGTCTCAACTCTTAAGCTTTTTCTTTTCTATTATGAGAAAATATTTTAAGTACAAAATTGAACAAATATATAGTCATATTTAAAATATTAAATATTTCAGGTGCTTTTCAAAACCCTATACAATTTTTTATGTTTTGATGTCTTTAAGGTATTTTTTCTGTTGGTTGTGGGGCCTGAACTCTGGGCCTAGGCTCTGGGCCTGAGCTCTTCAGCTGAAGGCTAGTACTCTACCACTTGAGCCACAGCATCACTTCTGGCCCTTTCTGTTTATGTGGTGCTGAGGAATCAAACCCAGGGCCTTGCCCATGCACTGAACCACTTGCCCAGCCCCTCTCTAAGGTATTCTAAACATGTGTGAATATGATCTGAAGAAAACAACAGCCCAGTAACAAGGATAAAATATATTCCATCTTTCTATAAATTAGTTTTGGCCAGTGCAAGGGCTTGAACACAGTACCTAGGCTATGTCCCTGAGTCTGTGTTAAAGGCTAGCACATAACCACTTCAGCAAAGCACAACTTGCAACTTTTTCTGAGAACTTTATTGGCTACAAAGTTCTCACTGATTTTTCTGCCCTGGCTTGCTTTGAAGCATTATCCTCTGATCTGAACCTCCTGATTAGCTGGGATTACATCCTTGAGCCCCCAGAATCCTGTTTATGAAACCATTAGTTACCAATAACAGCAACATGTTTGTAGTTAGTGTTTTGAAAACTGTCAATTCAGTTTTTCCCTATGAGTTTCTTCAGTCATAGCAAAGGATGACTTGCCGTAAACAATTATCCATGTTTTTCATAAGTGACCGAGTTTCATTCAACTTTGGGTGTTAAATATTTAGCAAGCACAAACTATAGACATTCACAAGAGTGATTGTGGCAAGCTATAGCAAAATGATTTTTCTGAAAATCATCCTCTTTTTCTGAGTGACCAGGAAAGATAATTTTTCACTACGATCATTTTGATCCCTCCATGGATTTTCTCCTAAAATACTTCACTAGGTGTTTCTATTATTCTTGAATTCAGAATCAGAGTTTAAAGACCATCAGGAGCTTTTAATATTTCACTTTCTATTGTAACTCTGGGATGTACTTGACCATAAGATGATGTCTTCTTTTAGCTGTACACTTTTCTGAAGAACATCCAGTTTTACAGTACTATTGGAGATAATGTGATTTGGGACAGGAAAAGGAAATTGGAGCCAGATTATGACATTCTGAATATTTGGAATTTTCCAGAGGGTCTTCAACTTGAGGTGAAAGTAGGAAGGTTTTCTCCATATGCTCCACATGGCAATCAACTGTCCTTTTCTGAAGATATGGTAGAGTGGGCCATTGGAACTACAGAGGTGAGTTGGATCTAATCGTAATAATGTTAAGGACACACAAATCAGCAAAAGTCACCTTTAAATTCTGTAGGTAGCTGAGTTCCAGCAACTTTCTCCTATAATCCTAGAGTCTAATATACCTGAGAGGGGAATATCAGAGTTTAGAATCAGCTCAAACAGGGAACTCTGTAGGCTCATTGCCAATTTACCTTCAAAAGTCTGGAGGTAGAGTTGTGATTAAGGTAGTAGGGTGCTATCCTTGAGCAAAATAGTTCAAGTCCAGTGCCCAGTCCTTAGTTCAAGCCCCAGGTTCAGAACCAAAAGAGAAAAAGCATTTCTACACATTGTTTTTTAATATTTTCATGAGATGTAAATTATATTTTTCTCAGTGAAATTCTAACAATGTGATAAATGCTCTAAAGAGTTAATTTATGTGGTTGAATGGTTCCTTTTGCTCCTTTCTGTGGAGAGTCATAATAGTTAATTGATCTGCTACTTAAATATGTTTGGCTAGAGAAATCATTCCAGCCAGCTGTGAGAAGATTCTCACCTCGTGACCACTGTAAAATAAAGTGAAAAAACAACGGTCCTAGGACTCACATAACATTATAAAGTGGGAGGTCTCCCCCTTGTTCTTTCCCATGTCACAGATGAGTAGGAGAAAGCATATAATGACATGAATTCAAGGAAATCCCATAGGGTTGTTCACTAGAAATTACTTTCTCACTACTAATTTCTACCTTTTAAAAATCCTATACTTTTCAATAATTCAACAGGCTAGAAATCAAGACTGAAGCACATAGCCTTTGAGAATCATGGAATATGGAATCTATAACAGAATTCAATAAATCGACTGCACTTACCTGCTTAAAGCATTATACTTAAACATCCCATTTGAAAGGAATGGATTTTTGTAATATTTGGTAAAAGTCTGAACAGTTACTGACACATCCCTGCCTTTCCTCAGACTCCTCACTCTGTCTGCAGTGAGAGTTGTGGTCCTGGATTCAGGAAATCCTCTCAGGAGGGAAAGGCTGCATGTTGCTTTGATTGTACACCTTGCATAGAAAATGAGATTGCTAATGGGACAGGTGAGTCCATGACATACAAAGAAATCCTTTATCTATATCTAGTTATCCTCAATCCAAACAAATAAATGGAAAAATATGTATTAGGATAACAGAGTCCATTCTCTCTCTTCATAACTAAAGTCAGACAAGTGGTGGGATATGATAGAACATGGCTTTGAATTACATATTGAGAAAGATTTTGCAGTCTACTGCAGACAAAGTTATGTCCAGGAATTCTTCTTATAACTAATCCTTAGGACCAGTCTAAACTCTAACATAAAATTAAAAATAAGTCCTATAAGGAGAGTAGTCATCATAAGACTTACATTTTACACACAGAAAACTTGGATCTTGCTTATCTTTATTTCCCAGTGTCCAGAGCTCTTCTTGGCACAGGGCAAGGTGTCAGCAAGCTAGACTCAGTTTAAGAAGTGAGCATGACTGTAGAGGGTCCAAAAGTGATCAATCCGTTCCTACAACCTCACAGGTAAGCAGGCAAGGCAAGCATAATGAGATGAAATCAAGGATAATAACCCATAAGGTAAAATTAATGTCTTACAGAAACATATAGGGCAATATAAGCTGTATAATTCCGATTTTAATCCGATTGCAGGACTCTTAATCAGCATGACAAAAAGTCAAAAATTGATATGATATAGCAATAGCCCAACTATTCAATTATCAATACATGGGATAGGCATTGAGCAAAAAAATATTGGATAAAAAGCCTGAATAAAGAAGAAGATAAAAATGGGAGGTTGTATGACGTGGGGAAAAAAAAAAAAAAAAAAAAAAAACACTTTCATGATAGTAAAGGCTGACATCTGACGATTTCAGCTTACTGAAAATTTTCCTAAATTCTCTGAAGAATATGGTGTTAATAAAAAGGAGTAATGGTAATATACATGTCTCACCAGATATGGAGCAATGTGTGAAGTGTCCAGATCATCAGTATGCCAACATACAGAGGACTCAGTGCTTGTTGAGAGCTGCAAGTTTCCTGGCTTTTGGAGATCCCTTGGGCATGTGTCTGGCCTGCATGGCTCTTTGCTTCTCCATGCTAACTGCTGTTGTTCTTGGGATGTTTGTGAAACACCAAGACACTGCCATTGTCAAGGCCAATAATAGGGCTCTCAGCTACATCTTGCTCATCTCCCTTATCTTCTGTTTCCTCTGTTCCTTGCTGTTTCTTGGTCATCCCAACGCAGTCACATGCATCCTGCAGCAGATCACATTTGGGGTTGTGTTCACTGTGGCTGTTTCCACAGTGTTGGCCAAAACAGTGACTGTGGTTCTGGCATTCAAAGCCACTTCCCCAGGGAGAAGGATGAGGTGGCTGCTGGTATCAGGGGCTTCTAACTTCATCATCCCCATCTGCACCCTCATCCAGGTGACTCTCTGTGGACTCTGGCTGGGAACCTCTCCTCCATTTGTGGATACAGATGCGCACTCTGAACATGGCCACATCATCATCCTGTGCAACAAGGGTTCCCTCGCTGCTTTCTACTGTGTCCTAGGATATCTGGGCTTTCTGGCTCTGGCCAGCTTCACTATGGCTTTTCTGGCCAGGAATCTGCCTGACACCTTTAATGAAGCCAAGTTCCTGACCTTCAGTATGCTGGTGTTCTGCAGTGTGTGGCTCACCTTCCTGCCTGTCTACCACAGTGCCAAGGGGAAGGTCATGGTGGCTGTGGAAGTCTTCTCCATTTTGGCCTCTAGTGCAGGACTTTTAGGCTGTATTTTTGCCACAAAGTGTTATATCATGTTGTTAATGCCAAATAGAAATTCTCTGCATGGCTTCAGGGAAAAAAGTCATAGTAAGACAAACATTCTTAAGATTAAACATATAGGGTTGATCAATATACAGAAGTTCTGATCTAAAGCTACAGTAATTATCTCTTCTTGTTATAGTTTATATTATAGAATTTGGATATCCAAGACTAAGGATCTAGTGTGAATTTTCCCAGCAGTAGTAGTCACAAGTGATGGTGATGACAATTTACACTGGAATTTTGCTTCTACATTTTTGGTTGCTCCTATTTAATCTGTGCTTAATTCTTTCATCCCCTCTTCCTAAAGTCTTTTCAGTGTTGTCTTTCTCAATAACTCTTCTAAATTAACGTCCTCTCTGCACACCAGCATGTTGCAAAGTCCTCAAATCCATTTTATTAATATTAAATATTTCCTCTGCACATATTTATATCTTTTAATATTGTTCTTAGATATTGCTTTGTTCAATACTTGTTTATTTCTTTTTTATGTTTTTTTAACTGAAATACATAGTATATAGAGGGGTTACAGTTACATGAGTAAGGTAATGAGTGAGTTTATTGTTTCTCTTGTATGTTCTTCCCCTATGGTATAAACCCTGTTTTCACTGTATTTGACATCGGTGCCCTGCATCTTGTATATATTTTTCTAAGTTGGGGAAGGGAGAGGAAATACTTGTATATTTCAACTCGCACATTCACTTCTTAAAGTTATCTTGAGTCACTTTTTTTTTTGCCTGTCATGGACCTGAACTCTGGGCCTAGGCGCTGTCCCTCAGCTCTTCAGCTCAAGGCGAGTGCTCTACCGCTTGAGCCACAGCATCACTTCCGGCTTTTTCTGTTTATGTGGTGCTGAGGAATTGAACCCAGGGCCTCAGGCATGCAAGGCAAGCACTCAGCCCTTGAGTCACTTTTGTGGGACCTTTTTCTCTGTCCTGGTCTCTCTTTTGCTTTTTCTCTCTCCATCTCCTTTTTTGTCTTCCTGGGTTTTTTTTGTCTTTCCTCTTTCACCTCTTTCCTCATATACATTAAGAATGACTTGTGTGTGTTAGAAGAAATAAATTTTTACTTAAGACTTCAATGTATAAGATTTTTGGAATTTCTTCCTATGATTAAACTCTACCATGTATAATAGTAAGCCCATTATGACCTGGATATGCTTTTTATTTTATCATTTATTAATCACTATATTTTAATTTGACATTAAAATTTTGAATATTAAATATATATAAAGATATTTCTTGTAATATCATCACTTCTAACAATCTGTTCAAATAGGAAAATTTTTACTTGCCACATTTCAGGACTCTTGTTAAGGACAGATTTACTTATTGTTCAAATAGGGTGACTTAGTGGGCTCTATATTATGTTTACAGAATCACATATTTAAGAGATATGGACACAATTGCACTCACTTGTCTGTTCAAGAGTTTCATGTTTCTTCTGATATTAATTCAATTGATTTATGTATACTTGTACTCAAGGCACATACTGTCCTTTACCATTTTCACTCAAGGTTTCTTCACCACTTGAACCACAACCCCATGTCTAGCTGTTTGGTCTCTTATTGGGAATAAGCTTTGCCGGGCATCTGTGTTTCACTCCTGTAAACCTATCTCCTTGGGAGGCTGGGATCTGAGGATTGTAGTTCAAAGCCAGACCAGGCAGGTAAGGCCGTGCGACTCTTATCTCCAAATAACCAACGGAAGCCCAGAGTGGTGTTGTGGCTCAAGTGGTACAGTGCTAGTCTTGAGCTGAAGAGCTGAGGGACAGTGCCCAGGCCCAGAGTTCAAGCCTCATGACCCGCCTCAAAAAAATAGGGTCTCGTATATTTATATTTTCTTCTCCTGGAGGATTTCAAACCTCTTGTCACATTTACATTTGTAATAAATAAATGGCTGTTACTTACCATAACTTTTTATAAATTGAAATTTTAGTTGACAATACAACAATGTTTGACAAAAAAATTTGTGTGCTTGTTCTTTTGTTGAAGGAATGATGTTTAACAAATGAAAATGTAATTCATTGTCAACTTCCTCAGTATGAAAATCAAGACATAATCAAAATACCCTTCAGTTTCTATTCAGTTTTTGACTATCTTCTCTATTTAAGAAATCTCATTATTAGAGTTGAGTTTATATTACTGAGAAAAATCATAATCCTCATTGTGTAATATGAAATTGTTAAGAACATATGTGATTTCAGTGAATTTTTGCATGGTATTTTGTTGCCCTGGATATTTTTTCTGAGTTAGGATTTCAGTAGTCTTACAAAACATTTTTCCTCTTAAAAGAAGAAATGAAAAGAATGTACAAATGGATGGATTGATGTGTTGAAGTATGTTTAGGTAGATGAAAGCCAAGGAGAAAGCAAATGCATGTAAAGGAAAAATACATAAATAAATAGATAAAAGAACAGAGGTAAGAAGGGAGCAAGCAAAAAAAAAAGTCATATGAAAGTTTGTTGGTTTTGTTACAATGAAACTTTATTCATAAGAAGCAGGCTGGATTTGGCCCTTGAGTCATGGTTTATCTATCTTCCGTGTGTGTGTGTGTGTGTGTGTGTGTGTGTGTGTGTGTGTGTGTGTATGCCCGTGTGCACGTGTGTGAATGTGTGTGTGGTATTGAGAATCAAATGCCATATGTTTTTATCTGATTTTTTGTTGCTTTAAAACAGTTACACATATTCTAACAAACATTGGAAATTTCGTAGGAATGAAAGAGAATAAAGTAATGAAAGTTATTAGGATGATTTAAATTTTTAGAGGAAATAAATTGTAATCCATAAGGGGCATTTGGACAAAGGATTTTATGTGCCCATTTAAAAGTAACATAATGAATGTCAAAAATGAGAAAAGTATGGCAGAAATCAGGAAAGCAACTCCTTTCATAATAGCCCCACAAAAAATAAAATACCTAAGAATTAATTTAGCCAAAGTAAAGGATCTCTATGATGAAAACCTTAAGAACTTGAAAAAGGAAATCAAAACAGACCTTAGGAAGTGGAAAAACCTCCCATGCTCCTGGATTGGAAGGATCATCATCGTGAAAATGGCAATACTTCCCAAGGCTATCTACAAATTCAGTGTGATACATATCAATATTCCAACCTCATTATTAAAGGAAATGGAAGAGACAATCCCAAAATTCATATGGAACAATAAAAGACCCCGAATAGCAAAAACAATCCTTAACAGAAAGAACAGTTCTGGAGGAATATCAATACCAAATTTCAAACTCTACTACAAAGCCATAGTAATCAAAACAGCTTGCACAAGAACAGACCTCAGGACCAATGGAATACAATTGAAAATCCAGAAATGAACCCACAGACATTTAGCCCTCTAATTTTTGATAAGGGAGGTAAAATATAGAATGGAAGAAAGACAGTCTCTTCAGTAAATGGTGCTAGCAAAATTGGTTAATCACTTGTAGAAAACTAAAGCTAGATCCTTATATATCACCATGTACCAGAATAAACTCCAAATTGATCAAAGACCTCAGAGACAAAACAGACACTCTGAAAAAATAGGAAAAACACTAGGTCTCCTTGGCGCAGGCTGAAATTTTCTTAATAGAGACCCAGAAACACAACAAATCAAAGAAAGGTTGGACAAATTGGATTGCATGAAATTGCAGAGCTTCTGCATGACAAAGGATAGAGCTAGCAAGATCAATAGCCCACAGATTGGGAGAAGAACTTCACTAGCCATACAATGGACAATGGTCTCATAGCTAATATAAACCTGGAACTCAAACAATTAAACCTCCCAACAACAAATTCTCAAAGAAACAACTGCCCAGTAAATAAGTGGGCTAAAGAGTTATAGAGAAACTTCTCTGAAGTCGAAAGAAGGATGGGCAATGGACACATGGAGAAATGCTCAACCTTTTTAGTCATAAAAGAAATGCAAATCAAAACAACATTGAGATACCACCTCACCCCAGTTAGAATGGCTATAATCAAGGACTCTAATAAAAACAGATGCTGGAGGGGATGTGGACAGAAGGGAATGTGGACAGAAGGGAACTTTACTGCATTGTTGGTGGGAGTGTCAACTTGTTCAAACACTTTGGAAAGTACTATGCAGGTTCCTCAAAAGACTCCACATAGAGCTCCCCTATGACCCAGCAATCCTACTTTTGGACATTTACCTGAATGATCACAAACAAGGCCATACTAAAACTACCATCACAACTATGCTTATTGCAGCATTATTTACCATAGCTATGATATGGAACCAACCCAGATGCCCCTCAGTAGAGGAATGGATCAAGACATTGTGGTATATATACACAATGGAATTCTATGCCTCCATCAGAAAGAATTATATTGCCCCATTTGTTAGGAAATGGAAAGACTTGGAAAAAATATATTAAGTGAAGTAAGCCAGGCCCAAAGAAACATTAGTCCCATGGTTTCCCTTATTTGCTAGTATATGCCTGAGATAAGCAGAAACTGTCAGACAAGTTGATGTCAGGCGACATGAACCCCAACGTTTTTTCTTTCTTGCGATTGTTTCTAACACATTTATAAGATGATTTCTTTGTTGCTTTGTATGTCCCTCTCCCAGGATATATCCCCTGTTTTCACTGTATTTGATGTTGGTGTACTTTGTAGAGGTGAGTAAATTGTTTAAATAGGGATACAGGTGGACCCATTGCAACAATGAGATGTACAAGTCGTTATGTCGAAAAACGAACTTTACAACTTTGGCCAGGGGAAAGATAGGAAGGGATGGGAAGGGGAAACAAAGGAGAAGGCAACAATGCCTGATAAGAAATGTACTCATTATCTTGCCCATGTAATTGTAACCCCTGTGTATGGTATTTTCACAATAATAAAATAAAATAAAATAAAAGTAACATAATGAAATCCATTTCACTATATACAATTTGAAAAGTAAAATTTAAAATCAATCTACTTAGAGTTGAAAAAATAACATATCCTTTGTATATTTGGACCAAAATTCATTTCATATATCCCTTCAAAAGGTAGCTTCACAAAAACAAATCTCTAAGGATCGAAACCTAATAAAAGATCTCTAAAGACCTCTACAATGAAAAGTAAAGCTATCATGTAAGTCATTGGATAAGAAAATGGAAAG